GGTAGAGCCCAGGCTGAGCGTCATACCCATTTGTGCAGGAGTCCTGGTGAAACAAGAACCACATACTCCAAAATAAAATGCTGCTGGTTTTTGTATTTAAAAAAAAGTCCTACCATAAGTTATAGTTTTACATGGGCATTTTGGTTTTACTTGACTTGCCCGAAATAACAAAAAATAAAAAGGAAATATTCCCAGATTCTCTATTACGTATTTGCTTCAGGCATCATGTGCTGGCCTGGTTTGTATGAAGAGCTGAGGCTCCCTAAAACCCCTCGGATGTCACCTGGCATTTGGAGTCCTCATCTCTTTGGGAAGAGTAAGCCCACTCAGGCAGATGCCAGGAGCAGGCGGTCCCAGGCATTACAATGCTGTGACCTGGATGAAGAAAGCTGCCGCCAAACACCACCATAGTGGGATGGGTTCTCACCTCACCCATCTTCTGCACAGGCGATGCAAAAGCATCCTTCCCTGCCGGGGATCTCTGTTGATCAACTGTACAGAAGAGTACTAAAGAAGAGAGCTACTTAGCTCCAGGAATGCTGACATGTTTATAAGCAGATGAAGAGGAACAAGGAAGTAAATCTCAGCAAGCAACGCAAAAATTGGGAGATGAATGGGTGCAAGGCACGCAGACTCCAGCATCAGTGCCCTGAGACATCTGACACAGGCTGAAAACAACCTCCATATTCAGAGTTCACTGACTTCCCTTTCTCTATACTTGCTGCTCAATATTCAATGTAAAGCTGGCATTTGTTACCATCTTTCAAACCAGTAGTTATCATTGTTCTGGGACACTGGTGACAGCCTCTGGCCATTCACTCCAGGTCCCCTGAGAAGCCAGTTGCAGCTCTGCAAGCCAGCAGTGCAGGCAGCAGCTCCAGCAGCCTCAACATCAGCGGTCTAAGACCGAAGGCTGAATTTAAGAGGAAGTGATTAATGGATTTTCTCTCCCAACACAGCAACAAGGAAGTTCCCAGCAAAACTGTCAGAAGCAAAAAGCAGCATTGTTGTGCAGTGAATGATTACTTTGTGCAATGCATCACCGGGCATTGGGGGAGCTGAAATGAACTGTGTCAGGAGGAGGCAGTGCCAATTCAGAGGGGCTGGATCCATGTGGAGGTGAGAGGCCCCAGGAATCCAGCCAACAGCCCTTCCAGGACATCCCCCAGGGCAGACCTTTCTTTCACCCAGAAATGAAGCCCTTCTTACGTGTGCAAGCTGACATGGAAGGTTTCAAAGATAGGCCATTACCTGCTTACCCAGCAAAGGGAAAGAAGGCAGGTGAGGACAGTTATTTTCCTGTAATCACTGTCCCCTGACTCACAAAAGCAAAAAAAGCTCAACCCCTAAACCAGTGTCCCTCCAAGCACAGCTGATGAAGGTGCTGTAGACTTAATATCAAAATACCAGTAACAGTCCAGGATGTCTCCCTAGCCAGCACACCTTGTACCATTATTTCCTTATTCTTAGCGATAAGCAATGGTTTGTGCACAAGTTTCCAATTAAAGTTAGTAACTGAGCAAGTCTAAACAGCTCATTAACAAGAGGTGATGTTCATTACCCTTTTAAGATATATTAAACCATCTGAGACAGGCCAATGACCTCTCCCATCAGAAAGAGAACACCAGGTGCTAATTAACTTACTTGAGATTACATAAACTAATTCAAAGGTGAAGTTGAAAATCTGTTTTCCTGACATTTAACTCAATCTGTTAGTACAGTGAGCCCAGGAAAAAAAAAAATGTATAAGTGCATTTGTACTCAGTTACCACTTCTGCAGGCCAAAAAAGCAGAGTTGGGAAAAAGAGCAAAGATACTTCAGACACAGGGTGCGGCATGGGAAAAGGGAGGTGGACACAGGAAAGAGCTCTTTAGCTGCTAAACAGAGCACATGCAACAGCAGGAAATCATTAAGAGTCTACGAGGTTATCTCTTAATTCCCACGAAGCAGAACAGCTGACTGCCCCTCTTTGTTTTGCAAGACAAGAGAGTGTGCTGGCTGCCTGGGTTGGTGCAGACACGTTGGAGGGGAGATGGGAGCATGCAGGCACTCTGTGGCCTCGGCTTCCTTGGTCGGAGCTCGACAAAGCGCCAAGCAGCGGTTTCTTCATTGGTCTAGCTGGGTAAATGCACAGCATTGGTGCCTGGGAGATTACATAAACTCCACTCATCCCCTCAAATCTGCACCCCAATATCTAAATATAAAAAGAGAGAATTACAGTTATCTTATTTCAAAGCATTTTATTTAACAAATTTCAGGAATATTGCTTGACAGTTCCACAGGCTTCAGAAAATGAAGTTACCCACTGTTGCACAGGTTGCTGTACATAAGGATGTCTCAGAGACAATCAACCCTGTTTTGCCATATTAGCCATCAAAACACATCCTCTCCCAGCATTAGTAAGTCAGGCAGTACTATAAAGCCAGTTGGAAAAAATGTTACTGTATTTTCCCTAGAGGATTGCCTACCCCCAACAAAAGGCCTCTTCTTCAGCTAGTGGAGGGCATCCTAAAATCATTTGCAATTGCACCAAGTCTTGTGTGAACTCAATGGCCAATTGTCTACTGCCTCCCTCTAACCCAAGTGGCAGGCACCAGCCTGGGACTCAGTCTGGCTACGGCTCCCTTCCCCCAGGGAAGGGGCTGGGGGCACAGTTTCCCACTAGTATGAAAGGGAGTATATGCAGAAATGATTTCAAGTTTAGTATGTCACCAAGAAGGTGCTCTGAAATGAGATCCACGTTTCTAGACAAGCCATGGACACCCTTAACCTCATGTAGGGGAACTGTCCTGCCTGGCATGGGCACCTCCAGGCACCACAACTGTGGCACTCTACCAACACTAAAGTACAACAGTTTGGGACTGGACCTTGCAGATTCTCTCTGGGTAAGTGGCTCTGCTAAAGCCAACAGCACTGTTCACGCAACCATCTGCAAGTTCAGCCCACTAACATGCCTTCAACAGTGCAATTCACCAAATCAAAAGCACCTTCACAGAGACACACAATCACAGTGCAATTTTCCAGAGGCACAAGTTAAGCGCACAAGTCCTTGTCCTTGAGAGCGGGTCAAGAAACCCTGACAGAGCCCCAAACATTGCAAGAGCTTCAGGAGTTGGCTGGGTAGCACAGCTCTGTGCATTATCTCACCAGAAAGACGGGCAGATTCAAGTGCAAAAGCACAACTGGCGCTGCCCAGAGCGAGCCCGGTCTGAAACCGCATCGCAAAACAGGCTTAGGAGTGTTGTTTTAAAAAGCTACAGAAATCGGAGAAGGAATGGAGACTGTCCTCATGAAGGCAAGGGAGTCCACAGGAGCACATTCAGCAAATGTGGACGTATGCTCAGGCAGGACTTAAGATTCTTAGCTTTCAAAGACAAAGCTGTTTACTCACGGCTCGCCTACACAGCCTTCTCAGCCTTTGTGCTATGATGCTTTTGTTTCAGGCGAAAAACTGTGTCAAACTTGCTGCACAGGAAATTAGAATCTTGCTCAACAGCTATCAGACAAGCTACAGAGATGAAACGCATAGAAACATTTGTCCTAAAAGAAAAATACAAGCAGCTTTACCAGGAGATACAAAACAAACACTAAACTAGAAACCCTGAAATACTCTAAAGACAGTTTTATCTGTGGGCAACAGAGTACTGTATGCTGGACAGGGAGGGCACGTGTAGGGCAACCTATCTCTAAGGTCTCCCGCTGAGATCTTCTCTCCTTTTACATCAGACACCATGGAGAACTTGAAAGCTGCAGCAATTTTAGAGATCTTGACTCAGGCATTGGCAGGAGGAAGACCAGCCTTACTACAATTTTGGCCAAGTCTCTTTGTATTTCCACCAGCTGCGACAGATTAGAGCTGCCCCCATCAGCCCCTCCTCAGGCAATCATGGGCTGTTTCTCCTCCCACTGTTAATGAGTGGAAGAAAAGGACCTGGTCTAGCCAGGAGGGTCTAGAGCTTTCTCCCAGAAGAAATGCTACAGGAGACTCAGCTACGGGATGTCCCAGTGGGAAACCCTGACAACCAAAACACACCCCAGAAAGTGCGGTGGTCTCAGCATAGCGTGCCCAACCACAATGCCCACCTAAACCCCCTGCAGAGCTTGTCCCTCTTGCCCCAAAGAGACAAAAAAGAAACCAGGAAGAACAATGCCCCATTACAGCGAACTCTGCAAGGGCTGTGAGGGAGCCAGTTTGGGTGACCGATTGGCACGTGTTCTACAAGGGTGGCAAGGGAGCGGTGACAGTGGGGAGAGGCTGCAAGCACCAGAACACGCACTGCTGCCAGAGGAAGGCATCACAACCCTTCCCTGTACACCTGCATCAACCAACGCCTGCCCTTGGCCCCAAGACAGCTACATCTCCCTGCACCTCCGTCCAAAGTGTCCCAGAAAAACTCATGGAGGAAAGGACAGATACAGGGAATGTGCCAACAGGAAACAAAACAGTGACCAGATCAAGATCTGAGTGCTTTCTCTTTTGAAAGAGAAATGGAGGAGTGTGATCCAGCGAAGATTTTCAATACTTCACACCAGGGAGCATAGCCAGGCACGAATCATCTGTCCCTAAGACAGAGCAAAGCCACGAGACACACCTAAGTTGTGTCAGACTCTTCACAGGCTCCGGGGTACAGGGGAAAGCATAGCAACACCAAACCCATAGCAGTACAGGCTTTGTGTAATCCTCAAACAGCCCACGTGTAGATCGTAGTCTGCCACCACTCCACACATTTAACAGGACACCCTCTTCTTTATTCCACTCCTCCAGAAAACCGCACTGCAGTGGCAGCCAGTCCCAGTTTCTGCTTTGCTCGTGTTGCGCAGCCCTCCACACTGACCAGTGGGTGGGTATATCTTCTACAGGCATCAAGACTGACTCATGCTTCCCCTCCTTGCACACAATTTAAGACGCGGTGTCCTTTTCAAACTTCATTAGACTCCCTTTTTTTCCAGTCTAATTGGCAAAGTTGATTACACAAAGGCAGAGGTGCACCCTTTGCGGCTAGATTTTGCCTATCCTGTTCCTGGGGTGCGTGAGGCTGTTGATGTGAAGTCCACTGATGCCGTTGAGGAAGAACAGAAAGGCAGCGATGAACTCGCACCAGTACGTTAGCGTGAAGCCCGTGAAGGTGAGATGATCCTTCATGACAATGGAGAAGCTCAGAACCCCGGTGGCCGACAGCAAAAACGAGACGAGGATGAACACCGAGCCCATTGACCACTTCCGCCTTGCATTGGCATCCTCGCAGACTTGCGACACCATCAGCAGCTCCAGGCCAAATATGGCGACCACAACGGCAAAGGACACCATGCTTCTTATGGGAATCATGCCCACGCTCAGCCCCTCCACCTTGGCCAGGCTGAGGTCAGTGACGCACTTCAGGACGCTGCTGTTGCTAACGGTGCAGAAGTGCCACAGTCCGAAGAGCTGCCCCCTCGCGAAGAGCCAGCGGCCATCGCAGACGGAGATGGACGACAAGACCACCGCTATGGCCACGCACAAGATGATCAGGCTCCTGATGAGCGTCTCGAAGAAGGATTTCTGTGGTCTCCGGTGCGCCAGCAGCCTCTGCGCCTTAAAGGATAGCAGAAGGGAAGAAAAAAACCTGAGTTAACAGCACTACTTAAGGGTGAAATGAAACCAGAGGGACAAAGCTGTGGGACTTCAGCAGTTGAAAATATTTGCTTGTGCACATCAAACCCCTTCTCGCAGGGGGAGGCAACACAGGCTGTACCCAGAAGAAAGGAAGGGTGGGTGAAGCTCTCCCGGTTCCCCGGCTGCACAAACAATGCTCCCACGTCAAGGCCCGGGTTCGGGATCACAAAGGCTCTGGGCTGAGCAAGATCCCTGCCCCACGGCCCCCTGCTCTGGCAGGGCTGGAGGAAACCACCGGCCCCTGGGAGGACGGAGGCTGATGGCTGGGACGGGGGAGGCAGCAGAAGCGGGACGGGGCGGGCTAGGGGGACACCCAACTTCCAGCACTGCCCTTCTTTTCCCACAGCCTTCCTGGGCTGCAGCCAGCCGGGCTCTCCTCCTCTTGCCGGCAGCAGCAGC